CATATCGATGTTTTGGAGTCAGGCTTGCTACCATCTATTACTGACATGTTTGGTGACAGGAATTATCCATTTGTTCACCAGGATGACAATGCTCCTTGTCACAGGCCCAGAGCAGTTGATGATTGGTTTGACCAACAGGACATTCGCAGGGTGATGTGGCCTGCCCAGAGTCCGGATGCAAACATAATAGAAAATGTGTGGAATGATATGTCAAAACTTTTGACAAATGCCAGTCTAACCAGCAGAGAAATTCTGTTATATTCAGTGTTTCATGCTTGGGCCAGCATAAGCCCTGAACGCATCAGACAATTATATGAAACCTTGCTTCGTAGACTGGCACCTATTATTAGGTCACGTGGTTATGCCACTAAGTACTAATTTTGGACTTGAAGCTGCATATTTTGGTAGAATGTATATTTTGTTCTCATTTTGTGATTTTTTGTGAAATTTGATGTTAATAAAATGATACCAGGAGCATATCATTCCGAAGTCATTTATCTCCTCCATAGTATTGGCTCAGTAGGGGTGACACTTCTTTTGTCCAGTGTGTGTATATATAACGCGATGACAGTTAAATTAATTTAAGGTAATACACGCATGATTGTAAATTTACTCGCGCTTCTTCATATTCAGAACAAGGCTTTTCCCAGAAAACCGTCCAGCTGTCATTTGGACGGCCGATAACATCACTGGACCGCCTATATTTTCAAAGATGGCTAGATGGCTTAAGACTTTTTTTTTTTTAAATGACTACTTCGCTTGTTGGGGCGGCTTTGGACGTCGTACGAAATTCTCTATAATAATTTGACGTACCCAGCTTGAATGATGTGTTCCAGTTGAATAATACTACTTTTTTATTCAGTCACGACGTAACTACCACCTACATATAGACCTTACAAAACAATAAAATGATTCCATCAACTTTGAAATACATGATCCACGCCGAACACAGCAGTGACAAGAGTGGCCTACATTCGTTACAAAGCACGTGTAGGCCTTGAACGAAATCTGAGCAAACATACCGCCAAATTATGAGAGGGGACACCTTCGAGACCTTCATACGCATGGCACCTGACAACGCTGATTGACAAAAAGACAAATGTCATATATCCTCCGCGAGAGATCGTTAGCGATCCGAGCGAGCCGAGAAAGCAATTTTCATGTTCGTTTAAGGGACTTCCGTGGCGGTAGATAGCTATAGTTTACCGGAGATCGTACGCGTCCAAGCGCGATGAGAAGCAGAGAAACTTCGTTCACGGAAGATCATGATCAGAAGCCGGAGATCGCTCGCGAGACGAGTGCACAAATTTCACATTCGTTCAAGGGAGTTTGTTCGCGGAAGATCATCAGCGGGAGATCGTTACCGATTAATTTTATCCTGCCTCCTTGAAATTTACTTGCAAAAGTTGGACGCCCTGAAATTTTGAAGGAAATTAGGGGCCATTCAGAATGAGAAGATCCCAGTGCTAACTAGTCCACGGCTTAGATATTGGCGAACCTAAAAGGAAGAGACCGCTAAATCCTGTAATGGTCTCTCCGCCTCTCACACGCCTCCCCACGCGTCCTCCCTCGACCAGTCGAATTGAGACGAGATTTAATAACTGTGCCCCTGCTTACGATGTTAATTATTTTTCACCTGTTTACCGTTAGCAGGGGCGGATCCAGGAATATAATAATCTTTATTGAGCACTAAAATGTGTACAAGTTACATTTTACGGGCTCTCTAGACTACTTTAGAATTATAACATCTATATAAATACAAAATACATGTTTCACTTTTAGGACTGAGCAGCCACTCATGATCTGTTTTCTGCTCAGGAGACTCTTCTGTCACCATGTTCTTCGCATTTCAGTAAAAAATGAATTTTCGTTTCAATTTCATTACAGTGGGGCACTTACGATTTTCAGTGGGATAGAGGAAGTATAGCGACCCCGTTCAATTTCCAAGTTGTGGTCACTTATTCGTATTTTCGCAGTAGTCTTTATTTCCGATGGCGTGGTTTTCATTAAGAGATATTTTTCAGGGGCGTACGTTTTTAAAGTAATCTATATGTCCTAAGTTTACTATAGTAGTCACTTGTCAGGTTTTTCCAAAATAGTCCCTCAATCTTATTGTTGAAAGTATCTTTCAGATTTTCAAAAGTATCTAGCGTTTGTGTATCAGTTTGATGACCAAGACCCCAACATTTGAAGGGGTCGGTTTTTAGAAATGACAGGCCGCGGATGTGAAGCTGACACGACCCCCCTCCTTTGCGTGGGATTCGGGGTCCCGAAAAAAAAATTGGTAGGGGCATATTTTAGAGGGACAACGGTGCCATTTGGTAATCTTTAGAACTATGATTATCTACTCAAATTCTTATTTCGAAAGGGAACCATTGGTGTGATTTTTTTCAGAAATCAAAGGGTGAGGGGGGGGGGGTCAGGACTCCCCTGGCACCCCCCTAAATCCGCCACTTCTGTTATTAATTTCAAAGAAATTACTGCCCCGTTTGTTAATTTGGAGCCATACTATTTTTACATTTTTGAGCATTTTCCACTCTAAACTATTATTGAAAATGGTTAATTACTGCTTCTGAGAACTTGAGAGCATAACTAGAAAAGCACCGAGAGCGCAGACCGCCAAGGCAGCAATTTTTTTCTTCTTATTATTATTGATTATTGATTTACTATTGATCCGGATCAATACCACAAAACTAATAATCTGTTCCTTGTCCCACTTCTGGCAGTTCCTGATAATTTAGGCTAATCAAAATCGGTCCATAACATTTTGAGTTATGTTGATGACAGACGGACAGAAAGACAGACAGCCAAACAAGCAAATAAACAGGCGTGAAAATATAACCTCCTTGGCGGAGGTAATAACCCTGATCTCAAGCAGATATTGATATCAACAAAGGCACTAGCAAGGGAAACTCTCTCTTGCTTTTTGTCTCTCTTTCTACAGGTGAACTTTGCTAAACTGTCTGCATGATGGTATACTAGTATATTATCAGAAGGGGGTCCATTGTTTGCTGAAGGTAATATATGTCCTTTTTTAAACGGAATTCCGTGCCATTGTTAAATTTTAGTGAGTAAATCTCCCATTTGTAATTGTGCCACTGCATTCGCCAGTAATTTTGTGAATATTTATACCCTACTGTGTGATCTTTATAGCCTTAGATCAAACATAAACCTCCGAAATGTTATAAAATTACTACTTTCAGATCTATCAAATCCCCCTGTCAAAGAAAAATTGAAATAATATATTGAGAAATCACGTAAAATTATTTTGTATTCTCGTAACGTCGTCAACTCAAGCACGTTTTGGTCATTGTATAATCGGCGGTTAGGAGCTATACATTTTAAAGATCAGAAAAAATGGCGGAAACTCCAAACATTCGAGTTACAAGGTAAGGTTTCGCCTGTGTACCCGCTTGTCCCTTGTAAGGCCTTGGTTCAGCTCATTTACCCTTAATCAAACTTATTCTTATTCCAATACTGTTTGAAACCCACAAGTTTTATGAGTTTAGTAAATTTTTGGCTTTATACCTGACTTGGCTATCAGCATCACGAAATTCTTCGAAAATACAACAATTTGTCAGCCATTTAGCCCACCATAAAACTTCAATATATTTTCGAAGTATTGCGTTATGACTTTGAGAAGTGCTTATGCGATTAAAATAGATTAGACTGGCAGTTCATTTACTAATTTAACGATTAATACATGCCTTCAAGTGCAAAATGACGATTGAAATAGAGAAATGGTGAATATATATTTACTCCAGATCATCTTCCAAGGCCCTTGGCGGATCTGGTTCAGGAGCCAGGGTTTCTTCCAGACTACAGACCACACAGAGTGAACCCAGGTCTGGGCCAACTTCAAGACCATCAAGGACAGCCAGGTCCACCTCAACTTCCAAAAAACAGAGTAAAACCAGAGCTAACTCAACCCCCATGTCACAGAGTGGTGCAGAGTCAGGTTCAACACCCAAGTCACACACTGACATCGAGCCAGGTTCACAGTCTGAAACAGTGACTAAAACTACGAAGAGCTCATTAAAGAGAGCACATTCACCAGTTACTGAAAAACTCCAGGTGGAAATAGCTGTTGAAGATACAGAGTCTGAAGTTGAGGTATTTTATGTAGGAATATTATTTCTGTAGAGAGATAGGATGAAGATCTTTCAGGAATGAATTGAAAAGTGAATTGAAAAAAATCAGAGAAGTGAGCAATGTAAAAATCTTAAAAAATTACACATTACACTTATTACATTTGCTTTTTATTGCTATTTAATAATTAATTGCAAAAACACATTATGTTTAAAATTTGCCTTTAAAGACTTATAAAATCCATTTCAGGAACCAGAGAAGAAGAGGCGCACCACAACAGGGCACCTCACCAAAAGGCGATCAAGTTTTGTGAGAGGAAGAATTAATAAACCATTGAGTGCACTTACATCTGCAGGTATTTCATTTCAGAATATGTAATATTGAATTTGTATTAAGGTTATTAATTGTTATGTAAGCAATTTTTGAGTTCAGGTCATCACATTGTCAGCAGCTGTGATTGTTAAATAAAAAGCATTTAGCCTTTGTATGTTGAAGTTTATATACAAAAATTTTTTAAACATAATTATTTTAACTGATTTAAGGTAATAACTTCTTTAAACCTGTGATTTTTGCCCCCAAATATATTTGTACTAGTATGTTGAATATAATTGTTGTGATTCAGTATTTGTTTTTTTTTTCTAGAACTGAGTGTTGGTATTCCTTCCGAGCTCCCTGGAGAGGAAAGACTAAGTAGATTAACAAAGGAGTGCCTTGAGGTAATGTGAAAGCATGTATTCTTAACTTAGGCCCCATTCAGAATAGGGGACTAACTAGTCTCAGGGTCCAATATGGCCAACCCACTTGAATACTTCCCCACAGGATATCTGTTCAATGTCTATTAGCAGATTAGTAAACACGCTTTGTAGTGGATCACCATATTTTACCCTAGGACTAGTTAGTCCCCTTTTCTGAATGGGGCCTTAATCATCAATACACACAAGTCCCCTATTCTGAATGGGGCCTTAATCATCAATACAAAATCATCAATACGAAATCTTTATTTGGAATGTGTACTCTTCCTTCAGTTCACACTGCAGAAGCTGAGTGAAGAGTTCTCAGATCTGGATGGAGTACAACAGTTTGGAGTTCAAGGTAAATGTAACAAACACATCAGTCATGATTTGCGTAAGTAACACATTTTGACTAACTAACTTTAAAAAAAAAACAAGTATTGAATCCTATAAGAAAGAACAATATACCTGGTGCAGTATCTTAAGTTAATATTGATAACAATGTTTCTCACAATTTGTAGCTGGTGGTAGTATTGCTGTGCCTAATTAATTTTTAGGTTTTTGTGATAAGTAGTATTATTGTTATTTTTATGCAAAATCTTTACAGCCCGTGATGCAGTGGCTGGGGTTATATCAAAGTTGGAGACTAGTGGTAAATTTAGCCGTGCATGCAACAAAGGCAAAAGGCAAGTGTGGCTTCATCGTGCTGTCTCTTTCTTGTTGTTGCTGTTTTATTATTATGTCTTCAAAACTTATTTTTGTAAGATAACATTTAATCTTTAAATTAGTCCTGTTCCATTGTTGTAAAGTATATTTGCTTGGAAAATTTTGAATAAAAATGGTGGAGGGAGCAGATTTGGTTAGGCTTGAGTACTTATATTGTTTTTGTTGCAGTTGTTTACCCAATCCAGTGAATAGTGAGATTGAACAAGCAGCATCTGAGTATCAGGGTCACATTGACAGGTGAGGCATGTTGACATGTTGACAGGTGAGGCATGTTGATAGGTAAATCATATTAATTGTTGTAGGGTCATGTTGGAGGGAAAGGCTTGTTCCATTGTTACACAAAGAATGCTGTCATATTGTGTGATTTACTGCTGGTATTGTTGGGTTGTGCAAAAAAAAAAAAAAATTATAATATATAAATTAATAATAAATAATAATAACAGACATACATATATGCAGGTTAACCAGGAATGTTTCTGTTTTGCTCCATCGTAAGGTCATAAAATGTTCCATTGAAATAAGTCACATTATGTGTGTAGTCGTTTAAAAAAGAAAAGATATAAATCATTTTCTCAAAACTGATGATGTTTTGAGACCTTTCCTATTGGATATTTGAGGGTGATATCAAATTCCAGTGATCTTTATAGAAGTGAGAACTAAATCAAATGAACCTCATCATATTCAATGATGCTTTTCAAACAATTACTCAGAGTTTATATTACCTTCAGATTGCAGGAAGAAGATGCTACATGGGCTCAGTTGATGAAAGAAAGAGAAGATGCTGCAGCTCAATTGGAACAGTAAGTACATGATGGTTCAATGTTATAAAGTCAATTGTTAATTAGTACCACCAGCGTGTACGCTGGCGGTACTCATGGTTTTAGTCCCGACCTGTCTCGTCCGGCTCCGTTGGCTCCGCCGGCTCCGCGTACTGGCGCCGGATACAAGTCACCGTTACCGCTTCTCCTCCTAGACCGCAAGGACCCCTGTCCCCATCTCNGCTTCCCTTATATCTCCAAAACTGGCAGAGATAGGACCATATTTGTACCACCAGCGTAGGCGCTGGCGGTACCCATGGTTTTAGTCCCGACCCGTATGTTCCGCCGGCTCCTGCGGCTCCGCCGGCTCCTGCCGCCGCCAAGTCACCGTTACTGCTTCTCCTCCTAGATGGGAAGGGCCTGTATACCCATCTCTTGGATTTAGGTCACCTATAATCTCAACTCGTTCCACGTAAAATTTGGGCTTTGTCGGTATTTGGGTCTAGGTGTGGCACTCGTTGCAATGCACCCTTGTCCAAAAATGACAAAATTGAATGCTAATTATCTACCGTACGGAAGGAATTATGGGAAAATTTTCTACAGACAGCTTTCCAAAAGTCATATGTGTAGATTTCAAATATGCCCTTGGATTTGACCTTTGACCTTTATTTCGAGGTCAAACGGGCCAAAATTTTCAAAAAAACGAAGTTTTTTACGAAAAAAAATTTATTTGTGCTGTTATTCAGACACCACACAGACTTAACCAATAATATTATTGGAAAGTGTTACCTGTCGGGTCATCTTTCATCACCATGGATTAGGGGTCAATCGGTGCATTTTCACAGGAGTAGCAGCCATAAGATGCCGAAACTGAAAAATTTGTCTCTAATTCGGGAACCGTTAATGCTACAGACTCATTCTTTTTTGCATTTTGTAGAGCATGTAAAGCCCAACACTGGGAGTGGTTTCCGTTTTTTGTATTCCATACAGTTTTCGAGTTATGCTGTATCAAAATGTACATACCATAAACTGAACTTTCCAAGTTTTTGAACCCTTTTATCTCCAAAACTGGTAGAGATAGGTCCATAGTTACTTTTGAACTTGAGTAGGAAGTCATATACAGGCAATCTAAATGTGACCTTGAAATTGACCTTTGACCTACTTTTCACCAGGAACTGAAGTTTGCAACATTTTAGTCCCTTATATCTTGAGAACTGGCAGAGATACGACCTTAGTTACTATTGAAGCCAAATAGGAAGTCATATACTGGCACTCTAAACATGACCTTGAAATTGACCTTTGACCTACTTTTCACCATAAACTGAACTTTCCAAGTTTTTGAACCCTTTTATCTTCAAAGCTTTCAGAGATAGGTCCATAGTTACTTTTGAACTTGAGTAGGAAGTCATATACTGGCAATCTAAATGTGACCTTGAAATTGACCTTTGACCTACTTTTCACCAGGAACTGAAGTTTGCAACATTTTAGTCCCTTATATCTTGAGAACTGGCAGAGATACGACCTTAGTTACCATTGAAGCCAAATAGGAAGTCATACACTGGCACTCTAAACATGACCTTGAAAATGACCTTTGACCTACTTTTCACCATAAACCGAACTTTCCAAGTTTTTGAACCCTTTTATCCTCAAAACTGGCAGAGATACAACCTTAGATACTATTGAAGCCAAATAAGAAGTCATATACTGGCACTCTAAACATGACCTTGAAATTGACCTTTCACCTACTTTTCACCATAAACCAAACTTTCCAAGTTTTTGAACCCTTTTATCTCCAAAACTGGCAGAGATAGGTCCATAGTTACTTTTGAACTTGAATAGGAAGTCATATACTGGCAATCTTAATGTGACCTTGAAATTGACCTTTGACCTATTTTTCACCAGGAACTGAAGTTTGGAACATTTTAGTCCCTTATATCTTGAGAACTGGCAGAGATACGACCATAGTTACTATTGAACTTGAATAGGAATTCATATACTGGCAATCTAAATGTGAACTTGAAATTGACCTTTGACCTACTTTTCATCATGAACTGAACTTTGCAACATTTAAGTATCTTATATCTCCAGAACTGGCAGACATAGGACTATAGTTACTATTGAAGTTAATAGGAATTCACATACTGGCAATTTAACTGTGATCTTAAACTTAGACTTCGAATTTTGATCTTTCACCCACTTATTATTATCTTCAAAAGTGACAAAGATACACCTGCGGTTCCTATTAAAATTGAATGAGATATGCTTATATGTGGCATGAGTGTAACGAGGACTAATGATATGCATGGATGCATTGTACGTTCATTTTTTTGGGCCAATTATGTTGTTTTTCTCCAGAATTTCAGTGTATTTTTAAGAAATATAATGGAAAATTCCCTTTTGTTGTAAGATAACGTTATGCAATGCTTCAAAGATTTTTGACACAGACTTAATCCAGTTTAACCTTTCAAAGTAATAGGGTTTTGCATGGGCAATTTTTATTTTTACAAAGAAATAATTAAACTTAGATATATCAGGACTTTATCCTGTAATATAATTGGGGAGCCATGCACCCACATGTAAGCTGGGAGATATCATACACTGTATATTGCGTAAGTTTAGGCCTACATTTAGCCGTACATGGGGCTTTTGAAAATTTGTACTTACAATTTTAAAAGGTCTGATACCTCTGTTTGGCAAAGATACACCTGCAGTTCCTGTTTAAATTGAATGAGATATATGTTAATGTGCCCTTAAGTTTTTTTTTTTTTTTGGACTTTTTACCAAAACTGCATTTTACATTTTTTCTGATTTTCATACATTCAAACCTGACAGAGATGCACCACATCATACTGTTTACAAGATGAAATTGTATGTCAGAATAACAAATTTTTGTAATAAAAATTTTATTTTCAAAAATTACACTTTCAAAAATAATTTTTTGAATAAAATTTTTGAATCAATGAATCAAAATATCTCATACATGAAAGTACACATTGAAACATCAGTATCAAAATATTAGATAGTTATCCATTTAAGTAAATACCAAGTTAACTGTCGGCCTATATATGCATATAAGTAAAATACCTATTAAACTAAACAATCGAACGTCTACGTTAATCAAAATCTACTAATCTATGCATACAGGTATAATTTGTTATTAAATTATACAATTAAAATTTTACATAAATGAGCAATATATAAAAATACAAATATATTTTAGGATTATGTGTATATTAAATTATCTATTTGTAAACATATATAATTTAACAACAAAAAACAAAGAGACAATCAAAGAGATTTTCCCACTAAAATGGATTTATAAAAAACAGAACAATTAATAATAATCAATATTTTTTTACTTAGTGGAAATTTTCAAACCACTAGAGTGCCCCTTTTAATCAAATAAAGCATACCAAATATAATGCAAATATTCTATTTATCATTATAATGAAAGTGATAATAACTCTTCGTTTTGGCCAAAAAATGAATTTTCCTGGAGTAAACAACAATTTTCCCATACTTACCAATGGTTAATGAATCCATTTTTACATTCAAAGTTAGTCCCTGGTTTTTTTCTAAAAAGTTTGGTTTTTTGTTAAAATCTCTTAAGAGATTTTAACATAGTATAGCCATCAATGGAGGTCACGTGGTCTAAAGACAAGCTCAGATATCAGAATAATAGCTATAACAGCCGTTTTTGTGGGAAAACAGAATATATTACATTTTTATGAGTCACTCACAATGTTTTTATTGTGAAATACAGATTTCATACGAAGAGTTATTATCCCTTGAAGCAGTTAAAACATATATTTATATATGTATAATAAAATGAAATCAGAACAGTCAGTCAGTCGAAATTTAAATTTGAGATAAAAAATAAGTGTAAAAATTTCATCATGATTATTTGACTACTACTAGTTTTAATACAAATTGAAATAATTTTCAAACGATCTGTGTATATCTTTACAATACATATTGTTAAGCAATCATGTATATTAGAAATAAAACCAAAACATGTCTTAATTTACACATTTAAAAAATCAAAACTGTGTATAATATGTTATCAAATACATAAGGCCATTCACATTTGAAGAAAATATTTACAAATAATTTACATTAACAATTTTTACATATATACAATGTTTTTCATAACTGTTTACACATTTTCATGTACAATGCATTGTGTATATTATATGTTTTAAATACATAAGAGCATTAACATCTGAAGAATAATAATTACAAATAATTTACATTAACAATTTTTACATATATACAATGTTTTTTATAAATGTCTACAAATAATTTACATTAACAATTTTTACATATATACAATGTTTTTTATAACTGTCTATACATTTTCATTTACTATGCATTGATGGGAATAATAGTATACACAGGATCATGGTCGCTGTAATACGTGCACAGTGTACCTGTTTCTATAGTGCTTACATTTTGTACATAAATATGATCTAACAGGCTAGAGTACCCTTTGACACCTCTAAATGTTGGAGAGGCAATCATTTGCTTATGGTATTGTAAACTAGGAACACAAACAGACATTGTAGGAGATTTAGACAAATCAATATTGAAGTCACCTAACAAGATTGATGGTTTAATGGGCTGTTTGTTTTGGCTTAAAATTTCTTGTATTTTCCTATTGAAAGCTGGGCCTACAATCAATGGTGAACGGTACATAAAGCTTATGTAATAACCATTGATTTTTATAGTTACACATTCAAAACCTGGCTCTGTTACAGAGTTAATTTTGACCTCTGTTACTTTCAAGTTGTTACGAATATAAACAGCAACCCCACCTCTAGAGGTGTCATTTTGACGATCACATCTGATGAGCTGAAAACCAGGAATAGAGTATTTAGCAGAAGGGACATTGCTATTTAGCCAACTCTCAGTAATACCTACAATATCTGCCACAGCCATCTCTGGATTACTTGTTAAGTCTTTGAAATGAGCTGGTAGAGATTGGATGTTGTGACATACAATTGTTAGAGTTTTTTGCAATGGTCTTAAAATAGGTAACGTATCTGGGTTGACAGGTCTCATACTCTTCATTGCATCATCTACTTTAGTGTCACAATACAAGTTTGCTTCATCACTTTTATCGAAACTTAAAAGTTGAAGACCTGACAATTTTGTTGCACGACTTAGTGCAACATATCCAATACCTGGTGCAAACACATGTTTCAATGAAACCACAGCATCAGTGACAGTTTTCCCTTGGGTTTTATGAACAGTGCAGGCCCATGCTAATTTTAGAGGGTATTGGTATCGAGCCACCTTCACTGACTGCTGATCAAAAAGTTCCACATGTGGCTTAATCTGTACACTGTTTGTGTGGATATTTTCAGGTCTTACTGTTTGTTGCCTGGTATTTGCCCCTATTTTGGGATTATCAAAGTGTACCCAGATGTACTGTGGTTGATTTAGTGCTTTTGTGCCCTGTTCTATCTTTACCACAGTTCCCATAACACCATTTGAAAGCCCATCACTGACATTAAGATTTGTGGTAAGCATTACTCTTGCATTTACAGCAACTTCTATTAAGGGCTTTAAAGCTAAGGAATCTTTAGCAAAAGGGACCTTTTTCCTTTTTGTTTGTCCTGACCTTGTATGTATGATATCGGCTGCTTCTATTGTAATTATATCAGAGCAAAGGGATTGTAACATATGTCTGTTATGTTCATCAACCTCTTTGTTTCTAGGGAAAATATACAATTTTGATGGATCTGCTATGAGTTGATCATTTACACATGCTAGAAGCATAGCTTTATCATGAGGTTGTAATGCTTCTTCCTTTTTCTTGGTTCTAATGGCATTTAGTAAATTTGCAAATGGTTTGTCATCTTTTTGTCTCATTATGATTGAGAGATTGTATGTAAAAAAATGCTCCCACTCTGATTGATAAAGTTGCCCTGGGTCCGACACATAGAGGGCTTTATCTGCTACAGGTGCTACTTGATAAAAGTCGCCTACTGCCAAAACACTGATTTGTCCAAAAATAGATTCTGCTGAACTGGTTTGTTTGATTTGGTTAAGTCGCTGGCTAATGTTTGTCATCATATTCTGGCCAACCATTGAAATTTCATCAATAATAAGAATTTGAAGATTCTTGTATTTTACTCGAAGTTCTGTTAATAACTCTTCACCAAGTGGTACATATTTTTTTCTGTCTTTACCTTTTTGGCTTCGGATAGCAAAAGCAGAATGAATAGTTTGACCCTGTATATTAAAAGCGGCTGTTCCAGTATATGCCACTAACAGAACTTTTATGTCATCAGGCTCTTCATTAGATGAGTTGCCATTGGATGTCAGAATACGTTCTGCTTCAAACCTGAAAGCATTTATGACATGTGTTTTGCCTGTGCCAGCTCCACCAGTTAGAAAAATGTGAAACGGTTTGGGATTTTTGCCTTGACTTTTATGAAGGCACCACTTACGCATGTAATTAAAGATTTGGAGTTGTTGAATATTCATGGACTGAACCATTTTTTCTGCTTGTTTTAATGAAATTTGGGACTTTACCTTTTCAGTTAGTAAGTTTGTTTTTTGGTATGGATTTTTATCTGGTAATGTTTGGTCTAAATCTGGTAACTGTACTTCTTCAGTTATATCATCACTTTCAATGGGCAACACTTGTTCCATTTTATCATCAATTCTCTGTTCCTCTGCACCTGGAGCAATATCTGCCCAAGCATCTTCATGATCATCATACGAATGCTGCAGAGCTGTATCAATTACCTCTGCATCTTTCTCAAAGGGGGCACTGTTAGTGTTAACTATCTCACAAATAGGAATATCATCATCATTAAAGACAAAAGAAGCATTGTTATGAAAAGATTCATATGATGTGAAAGCAGCAGGTAAAATATCTTGACCTCTATGGGGAAAAAACAGACGCAGTCTATTTTCATAATATCTTTCTGGGTCACGGTCTACAGACCCTTTTAAATACCTAATCACAATTGGTCTACGCCGTACACGGATAAACCCAAAGTTGTTTAATAAGGCAATGTCTTCTTTACCCTCATTATCACTATCATCATTGTCACTCCCGGAGTTTTCTTTGCTTTTTTGGCCCACTTTTGAGCCATACATTCTGTAATTGGCAACAAAATGAGCAAGGGACATATTCTCAAATTTTCTGTTATCTGGCCTATTCCAGTACCTCTCTAAATCTGACTTTGCCCATATTTGATCCAATCTCTTCTCCCTAGCTTGTTGTTTTAAAATGTTTAGCGGCAAAGACAACCTTGTTGCATCTTTATCTGCTGCTATCCAGCGCACTTCTCTACTTGAAGACTTCAGTTTCATGCCTGTGCATCTGTATATAGCTTCCATAACACTAATTTCTCTATGAGTAATATATACTTTTCCTAGTGTTTTAAGCTCATTGACAGCTTCAGTATTTCCTTCCCTAGCTTCCTTTTGAGCAGCCCTTAAAAGTTCACCCTCTTCACTCTCTTTCTTTGAAATGTAAGATACTATATAACAAATGCATGCATAGGCATCTACAATATATTGTATATCAATATTGGCATCCCAAGCTTCTAATAAATGTGGATTATACTGATTAACCCAACATTCCTTCGGTTCCCGCCTTAAAACTATGATAGTTTTTCTAGCTAGAATCCCCATTGAATATTCAAGCCCCTCCTGCGTCATGCCCGCTAACTCTAAACATTGTTGAGCTGTAAGAGATATATTTTTCTCATCACTAGTTATGGTTGCTAGTTTCTCTAATGCTTCCCTGGCTGCTTTTCGAATCATATGTTTTGGCTTCTCTTCATCTAACTTTATGGGCTTACATATGAAAGTTCTGGTAGATACTGGTCTAGGAAAATTGAATCTACAAGTTTGGTTCCCTTTCCTGCAACTACGAGAATGATTTTTGCTATGCATTTGCAATTTAGATACTTTTTCAAATAATGCTTCTTCTTCACCTGGTAAGCTACAATTAACAAACTTGTCGATGAAATCTGTTACCTCTTTTTCCTCAGATCTATCAAGCACAGGTGCATCCTGAACCCAAAATAAAGCATGAATGTGTGGCCAACCCCTTTGCTGAAATTCTATCCTATAAAAAAAATCTATCACATTGCCAATTGGATGTGAGGAAGACTTGATAAGATCATTGATTAGATGATTTGTACGCTTATCAAACATGGCGGCAGCAATAACTGGATTACTATTAATAACCTTACAGTGTTCTGCCCAATCCATCTCATCAGGGACTGGTTTTCCTTGGGATTTCAGAATTGCATAAACAATTTCTTTCCAACGTCTATCTGCTGCAGAAAAACTGCAAAACCAAGTTGGGATACCCAACTGCTTCACCATAGCACACAGATCTTTCATAGTTCTCTCCCAATATGGTGCAGACCCACGAACTTTTGCTAAAAACTTATAACCTTCATTGTTTCTTAATATATTTTTCAGTGATTCTTCTGATTCAAAACTGTCTATACTTATGTTACCTGATTGTGCTGAACCTTTTCTTTGACTTATTTTTGCAGAAGACAAAACTTCTTGAAATTCTTTTATGTATTGTAAATAAAATATGTATTGCGTATTCATGGCAAATTTGGTATCTGCAGAAAACAGTCTACTTTTAATATATTGGCTAAATGTTAACTTGTGCTTCCGTCTTTCTGAAAAAGCATTTTTCCCATTTGGGAATAAAGTTGGGAAAGACTGCACTTCCTTATTGAAGGTAGATTCAGGATGTTGATTTTCAGCTGGAGCAAAACATAATATTCTGTCTTCGTACTTATCTGATATGTACTGTGACAAATCTTCTGGTTGCAGGCATGTTACAAGTGGTGCGCTTGTCTCTGTAACTTCATCTTCAATATTATCTGAAAAATGTAAGAAAAATAATCCTATTTATCAAAAGATTTCATGTAAGTGTTTGTATATATTCTGATTGGTCTCCCCGTCCATGTCATCGCTGTTACTATCGCTGTCGGACACATGACATACCCCATAACTGTCATTTTTTTTTTTACTTTAAATTTACAGTGTTTTTTGTTTGAGAACAGACTGCTTTGAAAAATCAGCAAGATCTGTTTACATTTACGGAATTTTTTACTTTAAATTTACAGAGTGGCTTAGTTTGGCAAAGAGGCAGGTTGCTTTTGATAATCAGCATGATCAGTTTCCATTTACATTATTGTTTTTTTTTTTCCTTTGCAAAATTTTTCTTTTTCACAGATAAGCATTTTCAGTGGCTCTTGTATCCATGGAAGTAAACCACTCTCCAGTTTTTCAATATTGAACATGTAATATAGTGCACAAACTTCATTTAATATTCATGCTTACATTTTGATTGTTCCTTGCTTGTAGTTATTGGGTCTTCCACATCTACATTGCTTTCCACTAAAATAAATATATAAATAATGACTACAATAAAATATTTTAATACCACATCTAAAATATTTTGATAGCACTTAGGACTACACAAACTGTAATTCAATCACATAATATATAAGCGTTTTCAGTGGTTTTATATCCCATGGAAGTAAATTTAGTTATTTATTATTGTATAAATTATATAGTAAACAAATAAGAATGAAAACTACTTAGAATTTAAGTTCATTTAATATTCATGCTTACATTTTGATTGTTCCTTACTTGAAGTTATTGGGTCTTCCTCCACATCTACAATGGTTTCCACTAAAAAATATATATTTACTACAATAAAATATTTTAATATCACATCAATTAAATATTTTGATGGTACTACAAAACCTATAATCAAGTTTTCATGCTAACCATTTGATTGTTTGCCACTTGAATCGATCTCTTTAATGGTTCATAACTAAAATATAGTATTAGGGTCTATTACCACAACTTTAGATCGATCTATCACCGCGGGGAGTCTCACTATATTACTGTCAGATAATCTGCCTTAAGTGTCCGTCCCCGCCTACTACAAGCTTTAAGGGGTAATTAATTTTCGTGTCCACCCGGCTGACAGCTATTCAGTGTGAACCCCCAGGGAGTTAGGTCGATCTAAAGTAGGTCGATCTAATCTATGGAAATGGGGTGTTAGACTAAAAGAACTTTAATTCAAAATAGTATTTAGGCTTACAGTTTGGTTGTTCCTTGCTTGACATTTCTCTCTCCTTTTCCGTAGGTATGTTGGTGTCCACTAAAATTTACCAAATTTTATTAGAAAAACAGAAGACTTTGACAATTTTAAATCTTTTTAAAAGACCCACATTTTTAATTCTGTCTATATCACTTAGATTTTTTAAATATATATATTTATTTTAATAAGATTGATTTTTAGTAGTGAAGATTTTAAATGGTTTCCAATGAGAGTTTATGATTAAAATATTGTAGTCATTTTCATGATTTTAGTATATTAGCCATTATTGTAACACAAATATATATATATATATGTGTGTGTGTGTGTGTGTTACTAGAATAAAATACTTCACTGACACATGGAATTACAAAGCTATATTTTAGATTACTTTTCATGCTTACAGTTTGGAGCTTTCCCGCCTGATGTTTGTGAGTCTTTTTCCTCAGCTACATTTATTTCCACTGAAATCAAAAATGTCACACATAATAACCATCACAGAACACTGCAATAAAATACTTCAAACAATTACTAATAATGTAAAAAGACATACAAACAAACATTTATAATATTGTACTAAAAACAATTTAATTTCCATGCCTACAATTGACTTGTTGCATGCTTGAAGTTTCAGTATCATCTTCATTAGGTACCTAAAATCCATTTACAGAAAAATAATACACACCATTTTCACCTTGTTCGTAGGACTTCATTCCTTGATTTACTTTTACAGTTGTTTCAGAAACTTCCTGATCCCCAGTTTCCTTATTTATAGTCTCAACATCTGTGAGAAGAAAAATCAAATAAATAGTATTTATCTTATTAGATATTACTATAAACAGTTGTTTTAAGTTATAGTTATTTCTTACCATTTATTCAAAAACAATATTTACTTCTTATTATGAATTACTTTACCTGTTATTTCAGTGTCCTCATTTGTAAGGTGCAACATAGTACTTTTGACTCTTTCTTCATCAAAGGCAATAGCTAGAAATGATATAATACCATTATTATTCAGCAAAATTTAAAAAAAAAAAATTTAATTGTTATTTTGTACATATTTAACATATCCTTTTCAAAATACTTTTCTATTCAACTTTGATAACAACTTGAAAATTTTATAATTTATAATATAATTCATACATAAAAATGTGAACACATAACAAAACCTTATTATACCACAAACTTTATAAACTTACAGATAATTTTGAAAGTAAAAAAAAAAAAAAACATAACAGCAAAGAATTGTATACTGACAATTTTTAAAAATCCCAAATACATATTCACTTACCAGAAAAATCAGGATGGTTTTCCAAAAGAAAATGAAAAGCTCTTTTCACTGCTTGCGGATTAATTTTCTGGTACAGGTGGTGACCTTTGTAAGCAAGTTTTCGCTTCAATTTTACTCTAATTAGTCCACTTTCATGTGGCAAGGAAGGTAATCTCGTAATTGTTTCTTTGACGTTGGCTGGAACACAGACAATAGGACCGTGCACTCCATGCTGCTGACTTTTTGGCAGTGAAACAATTTTCATGAATGGTATCACTGGTGTTAGCAGTAGTTGTTCAATTGGATTTAAATCTCCTATATCTGGGGGCATGTCCATGGTTTTTATGCTATTCCCATCATAACTAATAGGTGATACCTTCTTCTGAGACATTTTCTGGTGACAGTAGGTGCAAATTACTTTTTCTGGTCCCATATCTAGAATTTTGCTGGAAATTAATATGTCTTCCCTATAATTTTGTTCTCGAAATTTTTGTATTTGATTCTTAAAGCGAAGCCGATAACAACAACAGCAAACATACTCAGGAAGTTCCTTGCATTTCTTATGAAAATGTTCAATGGCAAATTTTATATGTGTTTGCTGTTCCTTTAGCTTTTGCAATTTTAGTCTATGAGATTGCACTCCAGATGCGGTCTTTCTCCATTGTCTCTCCCTCTTCCTTATTTGTTCTATAATATGTTCTTGTGCACGGTATCTTTTTATCCTTTCCTGAGTTTTTTCTTTTTTATCCCTCTGCGAAAGATATGATATTCTTTTCAGCCTCTTCCTTGATGCACCATTTGGCTTGGAAAGGTAAGCCTTCTCTCTGCTTTGTCTAGCAGCTTTGATTTTTGGGTCAGCACGTTTCTCAGAGTCCCGTTGTTGGATTCTCTTTTTTACATCAGGCTTGCTACGATGTTTTTTCTGTTCCTCCTTTTTTCTTGTTTTGACATTTTCCTTGGAAAAGTAAGCCTTATCTCTACTTTGTCTGGCAGCTTTGGTTTTTGGTTCTGCACGCTTCTCAGAGTCCCGTTGTTGGATTCTCTTTTTTACATCAGGCTTGCTACGATGTTTTTTCTGTTCCTCCTTTTTTCTTGTCTTGACATTTTCCTTGGAAAAGTAAGCCTTATCTCTACTTTGTCTGGCAGCTTTGGTTTTTGGTTCTGCACGCTTCTCAGAGTCCCGTTGTTGGATTCTCTTTTTTACATCAGGCTTGCTACGATGTTTTTTCTGTTCCTCCTTTTTTCTTGTCTTGACATTTTCCTTGGAAAAGTAAGCCTTATCTCTACTTTGTCTGGCAGCTTTGGTTTTTGGTTCTGCACGCTTCTCAGAGTCCCGTTGTTGGATTCTCTTTTTTACATCAGGCTTGCTACGATGTTTTTTCTGTTCCTCCTTTTTTCTTGTCTTGACATTTTCCTTGGAAAAGTAAGCCTTATCTCTGCTTTGTCTGGCAGCTTTGGTTTTTGGTTCAGCACGAGCTTCATAATCTCTTTCTTTAATTTTCTTCTTCACGTCAGACTTGGAACGGACTGTTTTCTGTAAGATCTTTTTCCTCAATTTTACACCTGCCTTGGTAAGATAGGTATCTTCTCTTCTTCTTCTGGCAGCTTTAACTTCTGGTTCTGCACGGCTTTTAGACTCTAGTTCCTTTTTTCTCTCTTTTCTTCGTTCTCTTTTCTGCATATCTTCAAAATTTCTCTGCTTTTGAAAGTAAGACTGCAGTTCAAAAGGAAACAAATCAGTAGCAGTACTAGCAGAACAAGGCGTCACTTCGAAAGCAATACTGTCACTGAGATTCAAGGAAACTGCCAATTCTCTCAAGTAATGAACTAGACTAGCTTGTGTATTTAATTCTAAAACTATGGCTTTCCCGTTTGGATCTCCAAGCCCATTAGTATTTCGACTATGAGAGTCAAAGATGAAATGCCTTCCATCATGCATTGAAAACACCATAGTTGCAAAACTCAAGTGTTCGGAGCCCATTAAGAAAAAAAAAATTCCAGTTTGTGTATATGCAATGTCTATAGCTTCTTCCAAAGTGTAAAATGGTACCTGTGTTTCCAATAAATTTAGTGATCCATTTAAAGATTCTTGGGTGTTAATAGTATAAGTAGTATCATTATATTCAATCCTTGATGGCAACTCTTTTATAAGCAAAAACGTTTGGCTCCCTCTATTCCTCCGATAAACAACATCACCAGCATAGAGAATAGTCTCTATGTCATCTGCATTCCACTCTCTCACATTTTTAACCTCATTATAGACAAGCGCCATTAACGCCATACAGGTGCATTGTGATCCAGCAGTGGCATCTAAGAATATGTCGCTGCCTTGGTGGATCCGGCCTTGGACAACAGACATAATAGTATATCTGGACTGACGTAAAGTTCTCATACTTTCCCTTTTCTTTGCCAACATTTGTGTTGTACTCTGCTTTCCCTTTCTTGGCATTTTTTTTCTTCTTTGATCTTCCACAACTGAATAATAAAAATGTCATCTAAAAATTTTATATTTAAAACAAAATGATATTTCGACACAAAAGTAATACATTTTCTGAACCCCTGGTTCTCACCTTCCATAGCAGTTAACACACCGACACCTCACAATCTTTATATTACACCAAAGCTTAAACATTTCTCATAAAAACAGTTGTTGTACATATTATTTACAAACTTCAAAATGATAAATTTCTCAGTATGATAACACCTTTTTACAAAACTTCATGTTCACAAATAGAATGCCTATAACTATTGAAAATAATTTCCATACTTTTTGACAGTTGAAATTTCACAATTTTGAAAATGCATACAAAGTCAATTTTTTGTCACAAAAACCAACCAAATGCCAGCATATGGTTTCAAGTAGTATTACTAAGTGAATTTACAAAAGGCATTGTTTAATTTTACCCAAAAATGATGTTTGAACAGATTTTTCTGCTGGCATTCTAAGCTGCATATCAGGGGCCAGGAAAGTAGGTCACCAAAGTAGGTTAAATTTACAACCATACATTTAAAGAAAGGAGCTGTCTAAAGGTCTTTTGTGGCTGAACGAGTGATCTATTAAGATTATCCCTTGGCATGTCAAATTTATTTGACTCATATAAAAATCTAGTAGAAGTGGTTAACATGTTACTGTGATGTGTTACATGTGTTGCCGATGCTCGGTTCGTATGTACCTTTAAAATTTTATCCATATCCCCCCCCTCCAAATAAAAAAAAAAAAAAACTTTATATCAAAAACAATCAAAATATATTTTCCTTGTTTGTTCACATTGATTAGATATGCTTAGCATAAATAAAGTTGTAAAATTTAATGTAGTTCACTATATCAACACCTATTTACAAAAATTCATGTTTCACAAATTAAATGCCTGTAAGAATTAAAAATATTTTTGATCTTTTATACTTAGAATTCCACTACTTTAAAATCTCATCTTTTTCATTTGTTATGATTTCATAAAACAGAAGTTATATATTTTCCAAACACTTAACTCTTATCCTCAATTACAGTTAACACACACATACACATCACAACCTTTACATTACACCAAAGCCAAAACATTTCTCATAAAAAAACAGTTAGCGTACACATTATTAACCAACTTCAAAATATAAATTTGATTACATAATTACCAGTATGGAAATATCTCTTTACAAAACTTCCTCATGGCTGAAGAACTTGTCTCAACTGTATAAAAAATGGACTCGGTCATTCACAGGATTGGGGCAGTAGCAATAGTCCGAAGGTTCAGTGGTCCGAATATTCACTATAGAACCTTCGGACCAATGAACCCTCGATTAAAAAATCGATAAAAATGTTAACACTTTTCAGACTAATGAATCCTTCATACCAGTGAACCTTCGGACTATCGAGCAACCCCACAGGATTAACAAGAATTTTAAGAACCGCCATTTTAAATTTACAGTCATCATTTCACATACTTCACTAATGAAATAATATAAAACCAATCTGTTTTTTCCCTTCCATTTCAAACCTATCACATTTACAAACAAAGTAAGCTACCCTTATCGTTCCAGTAACATCCGTCTCAAAGGAACTGGAAAATTTTCCTTCCAACAAAATACATTCAGTCTAACAAATGTTTCATTATTACCAGTCCAAATGTCTGGTGTAATATGAAAAACTGACTCCCCCAGTCAAAATTTCATAATGAAAATCTGACCTCCCCCATAAAATTTTGACTCCAGCTCACAAACCTTTATAAATCTTATAAACCTTTATTTAAATGTATGATTTTTAAATTGTAGTATGCATAATAACACTTTAAAAATTTTTTCTTGAAGAAGTAAGAAAATTAAGAAAAAAAATCACCAAATGACTCCTATGAAAAGGCAATGGGAGTTCAAATCCTACAGGTATTAAGATGAATTTTTCTTTGAAACATTTTCAAGGTTCACCAAAAATTTCACCACTTAACTTTAAAATACTAATGAAATATATCTCACATTGCAAATCATGTCAAAAACAATGGCATACTGACTTGATATAAAATGGTTCCTTTTCTTCATAACAGTCCAAATCCAATGGCTATGAATGTAAAGATTTTTCTTGATTTTCCTGTCATCTTTTTTTTTTTTTTTTTGCACCCAATATTTTACTACTAAACTTTCAAATATTTCCAATATATTCTTCATAACATTTCGTAAAAAGACAAATATTAAAATGATCATTAAAATGATCACCATACAAATATCAAATGAAAACCTTTTTCATAGGAGAGTCATTGCATGATAAGATACACATTTTTCATTTTCTTATTTTCTCATTAAAATTTTTACTTACATACTAACAAAAACAGCAATTGTATCATTCATTATGTATGCATTTATTAAGTTTTCTAGGACAAACAAAATTCCATTTTGAAAATTTAACTGAGAAGTCATATTTCAAGGGAGTCAGATTTTCATGCTACACCAGACATTCTGAACTGAAAAGTTTTCAGCATGTCTGTTATAATACAAAAGTAATGAATTTACCAAACTCTTCAAGGGATAATAACTCTTCATTTTGACCAAAAAATTAATTTTCCTTGAGTAAACAACAATTTTCCCACACTAACCAATGGATAATGAATCAATTTTTACATTCAAAGTTAATCCTTGTTTTTCTCCAAAATGTTTCTTTATTATTATCTCTTAAAGGAACATACGAACCGAGCATTAGTAGAGTGTGGATTCCCAGTAACACATGTAAACCACTTCTACTAGATTCTTATATAACTCAAATAAATTCTACATGCCAAAAGAGAAACTGAATAGATCACTTGATAAGCCATAAAAGACCTTTAGACTACTCCTTTCATTAAATATTTGATTGTAAATTTAACCTACTTTTGTTACATACTTTCCTGCCCCAATGACATACAGCTTAGAATGCCAGCAGAAAAAAATTGTTGGAACATCATTTTCAGATAAAATTAAACAATGCCTTTTGGTAATTCTCTTAGTTCTACTACTTGAAATTATATTATGGCATTTGGTTGTTTTTTGTGACAAAAAAATTGACTTTGTATGTATCTTTAAGACATTATAACAGAATATACCCAGCAATGAAAGTCACATGCTCTGCAAACAAGTTCAGATATGATGAAAATAGCTATAATTGCCCTTTTTGTGATAAAACAGACTACATTTTATTCCAATGAGTTGTTCACAATGTTTTATCTGTGTAAAGATCTCATACGAAGAGTTTTTATCTGTTTAACTCTTACCTTCAATAGCTGTTAACACACACCTACACATAACACGCCTACCCAACTACCAGACTCAGCACCTAAAATGCGATCTGACACACACCTTGAAAACTGGTAGTGTGGTCTGATATACCGGTTTATTCTGGATCCGTAGGTGCCAAGTCTGGTAGTTGCGTAGGCCTGCATAACAAACTTTACATTACACCAAAGCTAAAGCATTTCTCATATAAGCAGTGATAGATACCTTTAACCATTGAACATATTTTTCATAATTTTTCATAGTTAAAAATTCCACAACTTTAAATTCCTATCTCTATTGCTTTAAACACCAACCTTATATAAAAAGCAATCAAAATATATTTTCTTGGTTTGATCGCATTGCTTAGATATATTTTAAATGAATAACGTGAGTACATTTAATGTAGTTTCATATAACAGTACATATATATAAAAAGAATCATGTCCTACATCTAATCACATTAGATAAAATAAACACATTTAAAATGCATTATTACCATCACCATGACTGCTGGGATTAATCTTGGTTTTCAAAGAAAATATTAAACTTACCCTAATATGTTGTTTTCTGCAAATTAGCTGTTATTTTCTTCTATAAACTAACACAGTAGATCGACCATGGAGCGTCCTCTATTTCTTCAGGTATCACACCACCTCTGAGTTTACTGACTTATACTGACATTGGGGCAACTTTTATAGACTACAAACAAAGGCAACCCTTATGACTAATGAAGCCCAGTTTAATTATGCTGCACATGATGTTATCAGTTTCATACATATGTAAAATGTCAGGGAAAACTATGTCCACAAAGACACTACAGTCATATTTCTCCAGTTTGATATGAAAATTAAACTTTGAAATGTTTTAGATAAGACACAATGAAACAGTCATAATTAAATTTATGCAAGGAACATCAGACAAATTAGCATTAATTGTGTGGTTGCATGATCCTGAGGCTCAGATGAAAATGATTTAATTCTACTGAGAAGGAAACAAAATGTATGCAGTTTCAACTTATTACATTAATTATAATTTTTGTTCAATTAAGTCTTGTATTCACTACCACACTGCAAACTTGAGTTTAATTATGTATATATCAAACCTCATTTTTTCACTAACATCATACATAAAACTTTGAGATGTTTTAGATAAGACACAATGTGGCAATCATAATAAAATCTATACCACAAACATCAGGCATGTTACCATTGATTGTGTTTTTAGATAAAACACAATATGACAGTCATAATTAAATTTATGCAAAGAACATCAGATAAATTACCATTAATGGTGTGGTTACATGATCCTGAAGCTGAGGTAAGAATGATTTAATTCTACTGTCTTGGCTCACTATATGCATCACTTCTTACAGTTTTTTTTTTTCTTTTTTTTTACTAAAATAGAGGAAATTTAAAAAGAAAAAGAACACTTCTTTGTTGTTTAGGGATGATACAACAAGAAATACTTTTAAATTTGAAATCAAAACAAAATGTATGCAGTTTCAACCTATTACATTAATTGTAGTTTTTGTTTAATTAAGTCTTGTATTCACTAACATTCTGCAAACTTGAATTTAATTATGTATATATTAAACTTCTTTTTTTTTCACTAACCTAATAAATGAACTTCAGTTAAATTATACCACACATATTGTTACTAATTCCATACATGTATATGTAAATTGTCACTTAAGAAAAAAAACTATGTCCAGAACAAGTTTCCCCAGTTTGATATGAAAATTAAACTTTGAGATGTTTTAGAAAAGATACAATGTGACACTCATAATGAAATTTATGTAACAAACATCAAACACATTAGTTGTAGGTGCTTGATTATATATGGCTTACTCTCATTTATAAACAATAAAATACCTTATGGCAAATAAACAACCTGAGATAAAGATATTATATTAGTTTTATTTTTGACAAAATATACCTTAAATTATAAGAAGGCACTTGAGGTGAAACTTTAAATGCTCAGGTATGAGACAGCAATGAATGTTACTTAACATTAAAAAAACAAGCCAAATGTATGCAATTTCAAAGTATAATATTTATATCCATCAGACCCATGTTGACACCAAACATATCAACTACAGCACACATATAAAATTAAAGTCATCAAATCGCCCTCTAAACCCATCTTAACAGTGAACAAAAAATAATTAACAATAACTCCTTAAGCTGCTAAAAACACATAATTTATCATTCCTTTCAATGCTTTATATATAAACATATTAAGCTTGAATTCTTTACCCACATAATAACAGAAACTCAAACACATATCAATCCTCTTTAATCACTCTAACTATGCAGCCCAAACTAACTTGGACCACTTTTAAACAGAAATCACAGTTAACAAATTTTATAATTCTTCTATCTCCAAAGCTTCCAAACCTGTTAAAATTAAAAATGATATTTAATATCAGTAATACATTCCCGCAGTCAACCACACGCTACAGTAATGTCCTCTCCCCCCCCTCCTACTTTTTCCTTGCCATACAAATATGCTTACTCCAGCTGGTGGTACAATACCAGGAGGCGGTATCGCCTCTCTGATCCTCTAGTTTGNGACATGGGTGCGGGCGCTGGCGAACACGAATCTGATGTTTTTTCTGGGGGTGCGTCCAATTTCATCGTAGACGGTTGTTACGAAGCACTGAAATTAAATGAAAAGTGAATTAAAATAAACAAAATCCACATGCGAGAAAAACTATCTAAGAGTTTGATAAAGTGAAATATTATCTTTACACCGATTGATTTCGGTATAAATTGAGAGATAAAATATTAAAAGAATAGATATATACTCTTTATATTAACGTTCTAGAAAATGACACACATTACAATGACGGAATGTTAATGAAATCATGAAAATTGAAGTCAAGGGAGGTCGACAGTGCCTAGCAAATATGTTTTCCTTCCTGGTCGAGGTTAGTTCTCTAGAATACCACTTCTTTGTTGACAGTTAACTTTAATAAACAGGATATATTTGTATAAGCTGCTGTCGTGAAAAAGGCACCCACTGGGAGCTGAGAAAGTACCGATAGTTACCTGCTTTGTCGTCTTGCTTTGTTTAAGACGGTATAACGCGTTCAGACCTTTGGACGGCTGGGATAATCTTCTCACTGCTTTATGAGCAAATACTTTCCTTCTGGAAAAAGCAACACAAAAAGTTATTTAACTTTCCAAGCTCATTTCGGCATTCATGTCAATGAAATATACCCAAGTCAAGAGCCATTACGCCTGAAGTGGGAAATGCATACTTTTTGATAAAATATCGTCATCATAAACCGATCAGTGTTGCCTTATATCATCTATACAGTACTTACAACAAACTACATCAGTTCTCAGTGCCAAAATTTCAGTCTACGTGTGGAAATTGTGGCAATGTGGCACGTGAAGCTTCTTCCTCTTCCTACTGACCTTGGTCTTATCTGAATACCTCTCACCAAAATGCTCACCTGGTTTACATAATAATAGCACTGACTGTGTGATTGTGTTAGAGAAGACACGATGCGTTTTACCTGGTCTAAAACGTTACCATCAGGCTATTGTACAAATAAACCATCTTGTCTTGTCTATATATCTTCATCCCAAATGAATGAGGTTATTATTATAACGCATCCCAATTAAAACATGCTGTCGCCTATTGCTCTAGCACTGTGAATATGTTTAAATATTGTTTTAAAAAACACTAGAGTTGTGGCGACTAAGGTTTGTACATGTATATCTAATATTTTTTATTTTCATGCAGCAGTACATGGACCCAATTGTGCTTCATAAGAAAAAAAAGAAATCACATAAGAATCTCATAAGAGTTTACAGAGTTAAGACTCGTAGAACTACAATGCACAAAACTATATACCTCATAAAAACTTTGCACTCTGAACTTGACCAAATGATTATCAAAACGAAATCAACAGAGTGCACAGGAGGCAGAATATTAGTGAGGAGTGGGGTTAATCACTGAGAAAAAATATTAACGAGGTGGGGGGGGGGGGGGGAGGGCAAAAATTACGCGCTTGAAGCTGTGCATTGATTGACTGACTGGTGTCTCGGTCCTAGGATATAAGTCACGTAGCAAAGACATGGTTGTTTGGCCGAATTTCATTGAGACACCAGTGAAGATGAATAGTTGTGTATCAACCTGTATCAATGTGAAGTTTTTATGCAGGAACGTGAAAACGACTGAGGATTTTTCTTTTTTCGTCATCCATTTAAACATCCAGATATTTTACTTTTTGAATACATTTTAATGAATTATAGGGTCTAAGCTCAGACGTCACCTCAAGTTCACTATACCAGTTTTGTTTAAAGCCGCTACTAACGCGTTCCTGGAAAGTATTAACTTTTAGGGGATTTCTGTTTTCACCATAAATGTCCAAATCCCTTTTCAAATAAAAGCTTCACGATTTCAAGGTTTATTTGCTTTGAATTGAAAGTTATTTCTAATGTTTAATTCATCTACATGTACATGGATTCGCATAGTTATGAAAATTATCGTCATTCAATATCTTGTACCAAAATTTCGTTAATTGCATTTTTATCTTTCTACACAGTTTCTTCCAGTTTCTCCTTCAACTTCGTCGTTTGATATTTTAGAATGAAAATTAACAGAAGTTTTCCAACAGAGACTTTTTGGAAAAAAAGTGGTATGTTTTTTTTCTCTTTTAAAGATGCATAGCAAGTGAGAAAGCCGCTCTGTACATTCCCTGTAACGCATACAAATTACTACTACTAACAGCTTCTTACACGACTGAAACAATATGAAATTTATCACTCTTGCTCTGTTTGACAACCTTGAAGGTTTAACAATGGTTCAGTAATGCCCGGTTGGGGGGGGGGTATATGTGCTAAAGCATAGTTTTACACAGTTTTATTGTTTTTCTTTAAATAAAATTTACATATACCGCGTTTTCCGAGAGCTGAACATAAACTGTATGTGACATTTTAGGGAGAGACAGAAGAAAATGGAATAGAGAGGTGACATGATATCTGTAACATTCTTCAGGGAGAAATGGGAGATGTGGCCTAGTTTTTTTTACCTCTCTAAAAGTTTGCAATATACTTTGTCTTTCAGTGGTCCCCGATTCTTTAATATTACCAATGTTATCACTTTGAACCGCATAAAACACTTTTGGAAGTAAAAGAATCATATTAGAAACTATCACTACACTTTCTTTTTATCATTTTATATTTATTCATCTTAGTATTGCCACTGACATATCTACTAGTGCCTTAATTTAGGACTCATTCCCAATGTAACTATTGATCTATGTAAATCGATCCAGCTCCACGGGGACTCTTGCTGAATGCAATTGGATTGGCACGCCTCCTTTTGTTTATAACATGCTTGTATAATGACTACATTTTCTCTGTTATTTCCGTTGTTATAAATTTGAACTGCATAAAACACTTTTGGAAGTAAAGAATCATCTAGACTTAGAAACAACCACTATACTTTCTTTTTATCATTTTATTTTTATTCATCTTAGTATTGCCACTGACATATCTACTAGTGCCTTAATTTAGGACTCATTCCCAATGCCACTATTGATCTATGTAAATCGATCCAACTCCACAGGGACTCTTGCTGAATGCAATTGGATTGGCTCGCCTCCTTTTGTTTATAACATGCTTGTTTTCCATTTTCTACTCAAAG